AATTATAGCTATTCCATTCCTTTATTTTTTTTGGTTTCCAATAGCCTTACACATTTGGATGTCCCTACACATGTTAAAACAGACCTTGATGGGAAAACAAATTGATTGTGCCGATAAACAAGCTTGAAAATCTTTGCTGTTCCTTCATGGACGTTTTCTAGGAGTTTATGTTTTTCAAAATACAAGGTCTTTAACAAAAAATAACGTATACTTATTGTCGTCGGATTAACACCAAATTTGCACAGTGAGAGGAACTTGAATGTGTCCAGACAAACTATTTCATCGATTATTTACCAACGAGTTGTGGTTTGAGTTGGGGGCAATGCGACTAAAACAGTAATTGAAATTCAGCACACTATTTTTTAAAACGCGTTGCTTGAATAAAACTGACCAGACACATTCAATTTACCAGACTATTGAACAACTAGGAAAAGTGAAAAAAATACTTCTTATCGCCAGCATAAATGCGTAATTATTTTTTTTTACAGAAAACGTAATTTTTCACCTTTGGTTGAGTAACGCGTCGTAGAATGCAGATACGGGCATGCAAAATACACTTGTGAAAAGCTTGAAGTCTGGCGATTCTAAAAATATATAATATACTTTCCTGGGTCTATTTGTAGTCATTTAGTCACAATTAGAGGATGAAAACAAGTATGCAAATAATAGTCCCGCTACCTTAAATAACTTATTTGTTTAATGTTTTGTGTCTAGGTGTCGCTGCTATATTTACAGTCGTCTTCGGCATTTTGGCATTAAGTTTTGCGAAGGAACGGACCTGTCTTTCACATGACTACATCTCCGCCTTTTGGCACTATCTCTTTATACAATGCAACAATGTTATTGGAAAACGGGTGCGTCAGCAATTCGAATCAGATACGCAAAAGTGTGGACAGGTACAAGAAGAGCTATTACGATATATCTTGCGTCACAATGCTGACACTGAGTACGGCAGAAAATTCGATTTTCCTCGCTTTCGAACGACGGAAGATTTCCGTAGAATGCATCCACTGACGCGGTACGAGTCGTACAAAAATTATATTGACCGAGCTGCTATGGGGGTACAGAATGTTCTCACGACAAATAAAATCGTACGCATACTATTAACGTCGGGTACTACCGGCTCAGGCTCAATGTTCCCGGCATCTACAAAATATTTCCGACACTATATAATTCTTGCAATGACAGCGATTTCGGAGATATATCGTTTAATGCCGCAAACGAAAAATTTACAGAAAATGCTATGGATAAAGTTTGACAGCAAACCACGTGTATCCGAGGGCGGGCTTCCAATGGGGCCTGCGTCGGGCCTGCGGCCAGGGTCTGTATGGGGATTAGTGTTGAACAAGATTATGGACTGTGTCGAAACCTCGCCCTCGTCGATATTAAAAGTAACTAATGAGCCACAATGCATGTACCTCCACTGTTTGTTCGGACTTAAGGACCGCACTGTGGGAATTATCAACGGTATGTTCGCACAGTCCGTCTACAGCCTATTCGCTACAATCGAGACAAAATGGCCGCAGCTTGTGATCGACATAGAAAACGGGTATATCGACCCAAAGCTCGAGATTCTTCCTCAAGTAAGAGAGGAGATTAATAAACAGCTACAACCTGATCCAGAAAGAGCAAAAGAGCTGAAAACTGAATTTCAGAAAGGATTTCGTGGTATCAGCCGACGGGTGTGGCCGTACTTAAATTACATCGGTGGTATAAATACAGGATCAATGAAACCATATGCAAAGAAAATAAACGAACACTACGCACCAGGTGAGTTATACCAGGTATGATGGATACATTAGACATATAGCGTCAATGTGCAGAAAATTCGGGAAAGTAGATTTAGCTGCAATCACGCATGACAAACAATTTGAACTACTAGTATGTGACAACTCTTGAACAATGAGCTTATGTTTTATAACTAACTTGTTCAATGTTTTGTTAATAGGTGTTCCGATTATCTCTTCTGGGTATTCATCGTCAGAGGGCGCTATGGCTGTCAATATATCCCCTTTAGAGACGTCCACTTGCTATGTACTTCACCCGAAAACCAATTTTTATGAATTTATCCCAGTCCTACATTGGTGAGTCGAAAATATGTATAGTTCATATGTGGTGAAATGTTAAATTTATACATTTTTGTATATAGTAATCAATGTAATCAATGTATTGTCAACATGTTACCTAATTTAAGCAACATACTAGTATATAGTACTGAAAATATCCCTTTATGTTTACTATTCAGTGACGAAACTCAACCTGATACCTTATTGGCTGATGAACTACGAGGTTGGAGCAGAGTATGAAATTGTTTTGACCAATGAGCACGGGTTGTATCGATATCGTTTTGGCGATGTTATTAAGGTGGCACACTATCATAATAACTGTCCTGCGATAGAGTTCATGTACAGGTAACTAATATGTATACAGAAAAAAACATTTTCATTTCATGGTCAGCCCAGTATGCGTGTCTTCGCTTAACATCCTCGTTCCTCTTCCACCCATCTTTAACGTATTTATGTTTTGGAATGATTAATTAATATTACACTATATTTCGACACTACATGGCGAGTGAATGTTGAAATTAAAACGATGCTATAAGTAACAAGAATTCGCTTAGTGCAATTGGACGAACCAGTAACGATGCGAGTCAATTGGGAGCGAGTTGCTGACGTAATCTTACAGAATATCACGTGCAAAATATGCAAGTGGCCTATTGGTACACATTGGAGCAGATAATTAGGCATAACATCAGCAATCATACTTGCAAATAAAACATACCAGTAACAAATGTAAGAAGAGACAACATGGGCATCCAATGTCCGGAACTGTCGCCTAGCACAAAAATAAATAAATAAAATGTGGTATCTAACCCGTGCTTTACATTTCCTGTTTCCAGACGTGGTCAACTGTTAGACGTACACAGTGAGAAGACGTCTGAGGTTGCTGTGTATGGGGCGTTGCAAGACACATTATCACAATGGTCAGCTGGGATTTCATTGGTGGATTACACATGCGCAGAAAGTGTTATGCTGAATTTGTCCGCATCGGGTATGGGTACAGTTAAAAACAGTTAAAAATTAAAGGGCGGCAGTCGTCGCGCTGCGCATGTGCGACATTTGGGTTTATAAACATTGATTTTCCCATAACCCAACGCGCTCTGCTTATGGAAATCACAAGTATGAGGTTTGACCTGGGCGCGAC